GAGAGCAAGGTATAACTCTCTAACATATAAACAAAGAAAACCAGTTACTAGTTAGATGTATTTATCTCCAGCTGCTTTTTAAAATGTGCTTCTGCATGAATTGCCTGCATATAAATGGACGGACACACACACACACACACACACACACACACACCTAAGCTCACTTCTCTTTGTTGATGCTTACCAAATAGTATCTCCCTTTTAAAATACTAGCAGAAAATATTTATGTTCCCTTGCAACTTTTAAATCAGGTGGCCACAAGATTGTCGTCTCCCAAAGACAATCCACGTGGATCTTTCCGGCCTTGCAATGGCCTACAAGCACACCTCAAGCTGGAGTGTCGTTCCACTGCCTCTTTGAGCTCAGGAAGAAGGGGGGAGGGAGTCAGAAAGCTAATTATGAAAAGAAAACTTGGTGGGGTCTTTTTGTTTGTTTGTTTGGGGTTGTTTTGTTTTGTTTTTAAGAATTACCATATTAAGAAATTCCACTTTTGAAACGCTTTTTCCTATACAAATATCTCATTCCATCAGCACGGACTAACTGTTTTATAAAAGGCTGAACCTGTTTGAACCCAGTAAACTATTTTACAATTCCTGGGGCAAATGCTTTAACAACAACAACAACAACAACACAAGCCAAACAGGCACCTCTGGGTTCTGCCTCAGCATAGAGAGATAGAGACAATTATCCTGCAGGGGAAAAAAACTTGTTTTTTGATAAAATAATATAAACAACAAAACAAAACAAAAAAATCCCCAACACTTCATTTTTTAAGGGCAGGTTCTGGAAAATCCTGTTGTATCATATTTTATCTAGGGTGGCTTTCAGTCCAGGTGAGAGTTGAGACATCCGTTGCCCACAATCATCTTGCTGTAGTTCTTTTGCTGCTCTTCCTTAAAAGTGTCCTTCACCTTTGCCCTCTTCAGCCCTCCGTCCCTGGAAATGAGAAGGCAAATGCATCAGAGCTCCTCCCCAGGACTGGTTTCGAGGGGTGACAGGTCAACACACACTGCATGGCGCCATAGATTTAAGAGTAAAGAATGCTGGATTTAGAGGCTGAACAACTCAAATACGAGTTTCTGCTTTGTACACCTAACACTTTTGTGATTTTGTAGAACTAACAATCTCTATGGTCCTTGGTTAAAATAATAACGTCTCCACGCGGATTCCTTTTTAGAAGTTAAACCAGTTGTCATGGAATCACTTCTAACTCTTGGCAGCCCTTGCGCCACGGCATCTTCAGTGACTGGGTGTTCTCTGAAGCAGTAGATTACCAGCCTTTCTTCCAAGGCGAACATGTGGAATCAAATCTCCAACCTATTACTGGACAGCAGTTGAGCGTGTTAGCCATTGGCACCACTCGGAGACTCAGTTTTAGAAGTTAAGACTGTTACATCCTCCACTTGAACATTGCATGAAAACTAGCCCTGCCCTCCCCCACCCCCGCTTTGTGCATGTATGTTTTACTTAAGAGAGCAAAATGCCAATGTTTAATTTAGCTAGTCTTCCCAGAAAAACACGTGGAAAATGAAAACCATACACACAAGAAATGGTGGGGAACAAATTCCTTAATCATTAACTCTAATCATATCTTGCACAAGTTGTGTTTCTCATTCAAAGCACTATGTTTCAAGTGTTTATAATCTTCCTTATTGCAAAACAGAGCCATAATACAACAACAAAACCATAAACTCCATTCAACCAGTAGTTAGTGCTCTGTAAGCAGTATTCCTTAATTCCAAGGCTGCCAATCTTTGCACTCTCTCCTGGGAGGTAAAAACTCCCAGGGTTGTAAGGACTCTGTGTGCCTTTCTTTCTTGGAGCGATGCAAAGCAACAGCAAACTAAAAGGAGGAGACTAGACCACTGGGTACTAGCTCCCTCCCAATCTAATGTTTCAGATTTAAACTCTTAAGAGAGGGTGAACTGAGAACCTGCTTACTTTATACTGGACCTGTTTAATTTTAACCCCGTTCAGCATGGATGTGGGCCAAGTTTTCTTGGATGATGATGAATAGATCATAGGTTAGACAGTGAACTCAATGCCATAAAAACCACAACTTGACCTGTTTCCAGATACCTGCCTGTGACAATTACAATGTTCTGGCCTCCAGAATCAAACATGAGAAGCCGTCAGAAAGTTCTTGCCTTAAAATCTAACCCCATGCTGCCGAGGGGCTCAGTCAATGTGGGGTTTTCATAAAACACACTTACAAATTGTGGCCAACCACCACCACCCACTCACACCTAACTCACTACCAGTGAAAGACTCCAGCTCCCATGGACGCCCCCAGAACAGGGGAGAACAGCCCCTCCCTCTGGGTCCCCAAGACTGTGGCTACAGAAGCACTGCTGCGCAGCGGTTGGAGGTTTCAAACTGCTTCCCGTGGGGTGAGCAGTCCTGTGCAGAACAACGACGCCACAATTGACTGTGACTCACGGCGAATCTGATCCATAGGATTTACCTTCATGCCACTGGGTGGACTTGAACATCTCACCTTTTGTTAGGAGCCGAGCATATGAACTGTTTGCAGCACCCAAGAACCCTGAAAGTTGTGGTTAAGCCTGGTTCCAGCTCATAGGGACCATCTCGGACAGAGTAGAACTGCCCCATAGGCTTGCCAAGGCTGCTGTCCTGACCAAAGTATAACACTGTCTCTCTCCTGCAAAGTGGTTGATGGGTTCCAAGTGCCCACTTTCGCCAAGTGCCCACTTTCACCACTTTTGCCACTACACGGTGGTTCAAAACCAAACAAAGCTCACTGCCACGGAGTCCCTACGCTTTATGGGAGTAGAAGCCTGGCCCATAGGGCAGCTGGGGGTTTCAAGTTGCTGACCTTGCAGTTAGCAACCCAACTGGTTACCCACGACACCATCAGGCCCATTGTCTATAGAGACCACTTTTGTCTAAATTAGTTGCCTCTAGTTTTGATTCCATCTCCATTCAGAGAAGGGAATTCTCACTCGATAGCCCTCATTTGTGGCTCTGAGGACACCGAGTTAGCATTCGGAGATCGGAGGGGTTATCCTCACTTGGAAATGAACACTCTGTGATAAGAATATTAACCTGCCCTGCCTTCATACACCTTCTCTAGTCTTGACGTGCTGTGTCTGCCCTCTACTTTGTTGGGGTCCACATAAAGTTGTTGCATCCATTCCAGAGATGTGTAGGGGAATAATATATGTATGCACATAGATATGAGATATATTAAAATGGTAATTATATCAGGAATACTACTTCAATTATTGACCTACTTCTTTAAAAAAGTTCTTTTACACTGCGAAGTATAGGAGTGAAAAAAAAATGATAGTGTTTGACTATTTTCCTACTTGTGTTTTCCTATGATATATATTTTCTAAAGGCTGAAAATTTTGAAACATGATGGAAAGGGGGAAAGGCAGGTGCTTTTAAAAATCAAAACTGTGTTAGCTTAGAAATGTAGTAATGTTAAATGTCTATGTTCTTGTATTTAATTGTTTTCTTTTAATGTGAAAAAAAATGTCTTACTAGAGAGTTTTATATTTACTTTAGTAGCTGATGATGGCACAGCATTTTGCTGGTAAGTTTTCATATTGCATTTTAAACCATGAGGGCTTAAAAATCAAAGAAATCCATTTATTTTTTAAAGCTGCCTCTAAATGAATCATAGCACATTTATGAATTCTGACTCTCAAGAGCTAAGGAAAGGTGTGAGACACAAGGAACAATGTGTCTTTCTTCTTGCCTGAGATCCAGGCCCCAAACAAGCAAAATGTTGAAGTCAGCAGTGTTGGTCTTTGAACATCTCAGCATCATTTTTGTATAATTCTCCTTTCCAACCACCCATAAGGCACTTTGGTGGTGCAATGGGTTAAGCATTAGGTAGCTAACCAAAACAGCAGCTGCTTCTTGGGCGAAAGATGAGGCAGTCCACTTCTGTCAAGATTCACCACTTCAGAAACACTAGGGAGCAGATCTACTCTGTCTTATAGGAGAGGAACCAACTTCACATGATGGGTTGAACATCCGTTTGACCTCACTCTACACTCTAGCACTCCAACTGTCACCTGGAACCCCTACCCAGAGACCTCCAAGTTGCCTAATTTCCCTTTGCAATGGTCGCAGATTTGGGCCAGTTGAAGATCACACAATGAAGTTCTTGTTTGATCAAGGAAAAAAATTCATATAGACAGGCTAATCCATGCCTAATGAGTGAGTGAGAAAATCTATTTGAGAGGACAAGCACCTTTTCAGCTATATTTAAAAGGCACAGGACCGCTCAGCACTAAGATTATATCCCCCAGCTTTGTAGCTAGTTATTACCACATTATTTGAGTTTGTCAATGGATATAATTGGAGGTGGCAAGTACAACTTTCAGCACATGCTCCTTAAGACATAACGGTGTCCTTCTTGTACATATGGGTAGAGATGAAACATCTTAAACCATAAAGTAGAAATACATATGAAGCAACATAAAATGCACTGTGAGGCCAGCCTTGACTATCAGTGTTTAAATAAGAGAGACAAGCTTCTACTGTGTTTAAGCCATTGATATTTTGTACAACCCACTGTAACTTTCAGCTAACCTAAAAGCTAACTAACACCATAAATTGCATTAAAATAAGATGATTTTTAGTTAAAAATAAAAATTATAGTATGTCTCAAAGTTTTCTTACCAGGGAAGCTCAGTCAACCCTCCTTGTACAGCAATAGCAGACTTAACCCTGTTCGCAAACTGAACAGCATCTTCCCCTTCCTGAAAAAAAAAAAAAAGAATATGTCCTAGGTTTGGAGTTTTTAAACAATACTTTAATGTGTCTTTATAATTATGCAAGTGTAAGATTCAAATGATCACAAATAGTTTCCATTCCAGGCTGATCATAGTAAATACCATTTGTTCTATCAAGAAAATATATTGCAGTATTGTATAAGATATTTTTACTATGTGAATATATTTTTATGCATTTTATCCGTCTTTCCCAAGGTAAAACATTCCATAATATCTGTAGCATCTGTGAACCAAGAGTGATTATAAAAACTGCTATGGGAAAAAGAGTTTCTATAAAAAGACTGGATTTGAAGAGCACTATTTTGGAGAAGCTGGGAACTGCAAAGTGCTAATATGCTCAAGTTGCTAACCAAGAGGTTGGGTCAAGTCCACCCAGAGGCACCTTTGAGAAGGTCATCTACTTTTACAAAATCAGCTATTGAAAATACCATGACATTGAGTTTCACTCCGACACCAGTATGGTTACTATGGGTCAGAACCAGCTCAAGGGCAACCAGTAAATGCGTTATCAAAAATGACTCGTTTCTTAGGAAGACGGTCCGACTTCAGCTGATGTGAAGAAGGAATGCACTCAGGTTTTTAGGTAAAGGCTTTCTTAGCCTTTATCTGAGAAACAAAGCACAAGAACCTGCTGTTATCTATAGGATACCTCTCTGGTCATCGGGGGCATGTACCACACATCACAGACAATGGCCCAGCTGGTCATCATTCGAAGCAGGTAGCTCACCATGCTGTATTTACTACTGTTCCAAAAGGCATCACCAAACTGAGGGTTATACTGAAGAGGAAAAAAAGGAAAATTCATTCCAGTTACAAACTAAGAAGTGGCTGCTCTCATTCATGCCCATTTTCAAGGTAAGAAGCCAAATATCTCTATTAGAACCCAAGATGAAGAGAGCTTCTTCACTTGATAAAATTTATCCAAAAAAGTAAAATGAGCCCTTTAACTTCTCCAATTAGAGCAGACTGCTTTTACAAATGTAGCCCAATGGTACTGGTCACAGTTGTAACAATAGAGTTAGATGTGTGACTATTGATATAGGTCCCTACTTAAGTGAGAGGGCTATGGAAGTAGAAACCATTTGTTTTGTTATCATTGTATCCTCAGTACTTAATATAATTCCTGGCACTCAATAATACAATATATATCTATATCTATCTGACTAAATACACACATATACGTACACATCCAGCTATAAAGAGAATGATCAAGCAAATGGGGCAAGATCCAAACCATTGTTGACTCTGAGTAAAGCAGGCAAAAGCATGCCGTATATTATCTGTGCAATTTTGATGCTTGAAATTAAATCAAAATAAAAGTCACCAAGACAGCACTAGTTTTCATGGGGGAGGGGGGAGGGGCAGGTATCAGTTTTACCTTAATTGCAACGGGATATATGGTTCCTCCAATCTCAAAGCTTCCCTTTTTAAACATCATGACTGAAGTGTTGTTGATGCAAGTCCCTGCAGAGTATTGGGGGTAGAAGGTGCAAGGAGAATACTTTTAAAGGCAGTCAGTTTTAAAAACACATTTAAAATTAACCATATTCATGGAATACTACACAACATAGTCAGCAAAGGTGCAGTATAGCACCGACAAAACACACAACATTTCTCTAGTTCTTTAATGCTCCCTGCATTATTCATAACCCCAGTTCTACCTTACAAATCCGGCTAGACCTGAGCATGTAAAGTGGTGCAGATAAGAGCTCTGGGCACATGGGTAAATCCCTCAGGAACAATAATGGGAGCAGTGATACCATGAGGGTAGGGGGTAGGTGGGGAGAGAGAGGGAGAAAGTGGGGACTGATCACAATGATCTATATATAACCACCACCATCACCACCACCACTAACCGAGGGGGATGAACAACAGAAACCTGGGTGAAGGGAGACAGTGGACAGTGTAAGATATGAAAATAATAATCATGTATAATTTATCAAGGGTTCACAAGGGTAAGAGGGTAGGGAAGGGAGGGAAAAAATGAGGAGCTGATGCCAAGGGCTCAAGTAGTAAGAAAATGTTTTGAAAATGATGATGGCAACATACATACAACTGATGTATATGTGGATTGTTATAAGAGCTGTAAGAGTCCCCAATAAGATAATTAAAATAATAATTAAAAATAAAGAGAAATTATGAACCTGAGAAACATCTCACAGCATGGATGAACCTACAGGACATTATACTGAATTAAATTAGTCAAGCAAAAAGGGGCAAATATTATATGAGACCACTATTATAAAAAGTCAAGAACAGGTATTCACACGAAAGAAACATTCTTTGATGGCTACAAAGAGGGGACAGACAGGGAGAGGAAGTTACCTGCTCACGGGTAGATCAGTGTTAATGCGTGTAGGGGAAGGAAATACACCATAGGAGAGGGGTTAAGAAGAAAATGATGGAGGCAGGGGGAAGCCATGGAAAGGTTTGTAAGCATTAAAGGTAACAGAGACAAATATTAGACATACAGTGCTACAACCGCAGGGATTTCTACCAGTAGATACTCAGACCGACAGAATAGGAAAACGAAGAACGGGAGCGTGCCCACAAATGCAGATAGATTGGACAGAAAATGTTTGTTTCTGTATATTTACTTTTGCTGCAAATATATCCATGAATGTACATAGAGAGGACAAAGTTATGAAAACGTCTTAGACATAACCAAGCACCAGAAGGACATGAGTTGCTGGACCTGGAGGCTCAGGATCACAGTCTCAGGGAACACACTATCATCCACAAAGACAATGTTCTACATCCTACTAGGGTGAATAACAACTGAGGTCTTAACAGCTCACGGACAGCTATCTAAGGTGCAACGATTGGTCTCTCCCCATTCAGTGGGAAAAAGAATGATGAAAATCAAAAGACATGTGGAAACAATTAGTCCATTGTACCAATGGGCCACGCAATCATCAGTCTCCTCAAACCTGAGACCTAGAAGAACTAGATGGTGCCCAGTTACCATTTCCAACTGTTGTGAAAAGGTTCACATTAGAGAATCCTAGATAGAGTGGAAGGAAAGTGTGGAACACAACACAAACTCAACAAAAAAGACCATGCTTACAGCTCAGATGGGAGACTGATGGAACACCACCACCACCACCCACCATCGCCCCAGACTATGGCTCTTAAATACCCATCTGGAACTGATGGAACCATTTAAAATCAAAAGAGGCAGCATTTTCCCAAGGACAAAGTTCAGAGGGTGAGGAGAGAAGGAAGAATAGAAGCAAGGAACAGGGAGGAAGTGGAATAGGTGCTGGTACATTAAAGGTACTGCAATAACTGGGTTGAATCAGAGTGTATAAGCATTACAAAATGTAAACCTCTGATCTGTTCTAAAAACCACCTAATTTACGATAAAAAGTCAAAAT